AAATCATACTTTAAAACATAATCTGTTAATTGAAACCATTTTCATTTAAATATTAAAGTTTGTATTGGATAAAAGTTTAGTAGTCATTAAGACCAAGACTGATTTTCGTTATAGACCTTTTTGCTTCTGAAAGTTATCATTGATAGGGTGACCCAGCATGGATAACTGTTAGCTGGTAACCTGATTCTCACCCTTTCTACACACCTCACTCATAGCATTGCCATGAATCTTAAATCCTTTATAGAGAAAGATGGGAGAAGAAGAATGGAAAGTCAGATGGAAAGATAAAAGAGCACTTATTTTTAATTACTCTTATCTTGTCTTAATTTCTTATCCCATGAAAAAAGAGCCTGAAAAAAAGAACTTGTATACAGCTAGTTTCTCTGGGAGGTGATCTCGGGATACAGGAGTAAGAAGAGTAGAGGCAGCAAAATTAGGAAGAAGGAGATTTAATAGATACACGGGCTATCATGTTGGTTGCTCAGTAGGCAACTGTTCCTGTCATGATATTCTGAGCTTAGAGAATGCTTCCTGGAATTTTTCACCTAAGGAGAATCAAGGAATGACATTTATCCATCTTCTCTCATCCTGCGTTGATAGAGAATAGCTCCTGGGGATGTTACCTCTTACCTCTTCTGGATGCTTCTATGTGTGGGCACAGTGGAATCTTCCTATGCTATGGCATTGGAGGAATCCCCATCAGAAAGCACAAGTACATATTTCTTGAGGTAAAACACTGTTATGAGTTGAAACCAACACAAAACTGTTTACTGTAATGCAGCCATGTGTAGAATCAGAGGTGAGACCATGAAGATGTTAAATGATGTGAGGCATATCATTATCTAGATGATATTCTTGCTTATGTGTGGATACTTTTCTTGGTTAGCCAGAGAACTACTATTTATAAAATTTACATATATATATATATATATATATATATACATATATATATTCTATACTTTAGTATAAGAAGGAAATATTAAGCTCCTACCAACTTTCTCCACCCAGAGTACTGATGAGCTCAGCAAAGAGATGGTTGATATAGAGATTCTAAGTAAGATGTGTTTATAGATTTGTTGTAGGCTGATTTATTTGTTTATTTATTTATTTATTTTTGTGGTGCTGGGGATTGAACCCAGGGCCTTGTGCATGTGAGACAAGCACTCTACCAACTGAGCTATATCTCCAGCCCAAGCAGGTGATTTTGACACTTGTAGACAATTTTGGACATTATAAAAGTCCTCATTTGAATTGCCTCTGTACCCTATTATCAAAATTCCAGGGCTTGAAAACCATACAGTTCAAACCCTTTCTTTTCTGTTATTGATAACTGAATTCTCATCAGGCCTTTGCCATGCTCTCACTGGGGAGAATCTACTGTACCTTTTAACATGCAAATGTTGTGTTCACATTTCCCTTGACATTGTGTGGTTCACTGGGAATTATAGAAAATAGAGCAATTGGGGGTACAGCATTGGAGGTGCATGAAATACTCACTTAACTTGAGGTTTGTGCTTTGGTAAGTACTTTTTGAAGCTCATTGCAATTCTTTAATTATTTTTCTTGTTACACTATTTTTAGGATTGTTTAACCAGTTTTCTAAGATAACATTAAAATCAGTTTATCCAGCTCTGCAAGATTCATTTAGTAGACAAGGGCAGAATGAGGAGGAAGGAGAATAGGATAAGGTAGGAGCACACATACCTTAGAAACAATTTAAACTATAATAAATGCTGTGCATATTCAAAGAAGATCACCTGCAATTGAACTTAAGAAAGAGTACCTTAAACATTTTTGATCCTTGTCTTGAAGAAAGGGCCAGATTTTAACAGGGAGATATTGAGGGGTATATTGTTGGCTCTGTTAGGCAGGGTAACTAATATTAGCTGACATAACAGACAGATTTCCAAATCTCAGAGACTTTACCCATCAAAGATTTCCCTCTGCTCACATGAAATCTGATGTAGGTCAGGTAGCTCTCTATCTTATCACTATGCCAGGGAGAGCACATGGCCTCCATGGCTGCAGTGGCAGGGGTGAGACTGCAATGCAAGAGGCATTCCAGCTCTTAGCTACCTGCCTTGTCCATGCAGCACAAATCATGTGGCAACAGAATAACTGTGAGAGAGGCTGGGAAATGAAATTATTCAGAGTAAATTGAAGAGGGCTTTGAAAAACATTACTAAGACATGTACCTACTTCACTGGGAATTTGTTAATGCCTCTGAGCAGTATGGTCAGAGCTGTGCCTCAGGAAGGTTGAAGTGACCTTTTGTTATTATCATTGTCTATAAATCAAGGCCTGTATCTACTTTTGCCTGGATTATCTTTAAAAGCTGCTAGACTTGACACGAGTCTCTTCTTGTATATCTTTTTACTGCTGCTAGAATCATTTGTGAAACAACCCTTTTTGTGTCCCTGCCTGATAAATAGGGTAACATAATTTATCAACCAAACTGACATAACATTAAGAGTGAAAGTGCTACTAATTATAATGGGGCAAGAGATGTCAACTGGAACTATGTCCAGCAAACTGGGATTTAAGATTACCACAGGAGGGACTACAATAGCTCTCTATTGCAAGCCAGGCCAGTCATCCCTTAAAATCCAAGTCCTTCATGACATACAGCACCCACCTATGCATCCCTGTTTCTTCCCTCACCCTTTGTTCAAATTCCTACCCCAACACAACTCTCCAAAGAGGCTCTTCCTACCCCATCTCTCATAGCATTTCTCTATCCGTTTTACACTCTTTTATTTTTCTCTATTGCACATATTATTTCCCTAGATTATATGACATATATATACTGAAATAGCTTTCTGTACTCCACTAGAATGTACATGCCATGAGGGGAGAGACTTAGTTCTGTCCATGACTATAGACCCAGTGCCTAAATAGAGCCCAAGACATGGGGGGAGTTCAGTAAGTCTTTGTTGACTAGGAAATTGATTACCTTTGACTTATTCCAAGTCCTCTTACCATCTATCCCAACATCCCCTCCCAATTGCCAGTCTCATTTAATTATATATATATATATATATATATATATATATATATATACCTTTATTTTACTTATTTATATGCAGTGCTGAGAATGGAACCCAGTGCCTCACACATACCAGAAAAGCAGTCTACCACTGAGCCACAGCCTCTTAATCCACAGTTCTTGATGCTCCTTCTGGTCTTCAGTGCACTTCTTGGTGTCCTTCTCTGTGGAGATCCAGCTGTGCTTCAAGGCTTATAGCTACTATCATTTTTCTTTTGGAAGTTTCTTAGAATACTTTCCTCCACATCCTGTCCTGAATGGAAGCACATATTTTTTTGTTAAGTTTGCACTTTATGGAGGCATTCCTTATCTACATAACAGGCACAAAAGTGATACAACAGCACTTACTTTATAATTTTTAAGAAAATTCAATGAACTACTTCATGTAAATTTCTTAGAACAATATACTACATATAATGTAATCAATACAAGATATAAACAAATCCATATAAAGAATTATTAATGAGATAATTTATATCCTTTGTGTTTCACACTGTCTTCAAATTCTAGTTTATATTTCATACTTAAACATTTCAACTCAGCCACATTTTAAATGGTCAATAACCACAGCAAGCTGGTGGATACTGTTTTGGACAGTATAGCTCTAAAGAATGTAGAAATAGGAGATATAAGGAGAACCTGCTCGGTCTAAAGGAGAGGCTCAAGGAACAAATTTGGAATTTGAAGCTTTTTATTTTAATCTGGGGATTAAACCCTAGGGCACTTTACCACTACATCCCCATCTCTTTTCTAATTTTTAAATTTTGAGACAGGATCTTGCTAAGTTGCTGAGGGTAGCCTTCATCTTCTGATTCTCCTGCCTCAGCCTCCCAAGTTGCTAGGATTACAGGTGTGCGCTGCCACGCCTGACTCAAGGAACAAATTTGGAAGAGCCATCCATTCCCCAAAACTTACATTCAGACCTCATCCGAGAGGGTGTTACTGTGGCTCACTGGATGGTAGAGACATTTGCTGAGGAATTGCAGGTCTGGGCTGGAAGGTGAATACCACCTGCTGGGATGCTGAAGGTTTGGAAGGAAGTCTTTCTCTGTGGTATAAGTGAAACTTGTGGAAAATCACCCATAGGAAAGCCAGTGAAACCTGCTGGAGGGGATCTGCCACTGGGTGAGTCACATACCACAGGTGGAATAGGTGCCAACAGGGAAGGATGCTGACTGCTGGCATCATAGGAACAATGAGAAAAAGTGCTGGAAGCAGGAATGAAGCCTCCTCCTCTTCCACTGTCTCTTTAGCACCCTTTATAATTATATGCCAGTTGGCAAAGGAGAAATGTTTTTGAAGGTCCCATCCAATATCCCAAAGGAAGGCTGAAAGGGTAGATCTGGAACTGAGAGGCAGTACATTGATAATTGCCCAAAAGCACAGCTCGTATTATCTGCTTTATATATTAAAATGTTCTGTTATCACCTCAACATGCTCTTAGCTAGATGACACTTAGCCCTGGAATCACTGTTTTCTGCAAAGGAAATAGCAGCAGTTTTTTCTTAAAAAGATAAAAGTATAAATGCCCCAAAATATAAATGTTGTTCATGATAATTGAGGCTGCATTAATCTGAATACATTGTTACCTTCAGAAATACACCATTTGGGGCTATCAGTCAGGATAAAAATGACATTTTCACAATAGAGAGATAAAGCTGTGTAACTCCTGGACATGAGGTTCAGATAAATTCTCAGATAAGGATGTGATGGATAAAAGGCTTTGCACACTTTTTCAAGCTTTTGATAACTATTGCAATGTACCATTTTACTTTATTTCCTTTCACTGAAGAAAATAATTCTAACAAATATTGAGAATTTAAAAAGTCATAAAGTATGTCTTTGAATATGTTGAATAATATACGTTTTACTTTATAACAGACACTGTAAAATTTGGTTGAGTGAATCAATTTTGCATTAATAGAGTAAACAAGTTTTGTTCCCTATATTTTTCATGCAGGAAAAATCGACTAACAAAGAAAAAGCAAAATCAAAGGCATCAGCAAGAGTTTTGCCACAGTTGTCTCTGGTAATTAACCTACACCCTCTCAATGTACCTCTACCTATACTCTATATTCTCAAATATTTTGCCATTTAAAAAATGTTTGTTAGTTTTTAAAATAACTAACTGAATTTCTGATTTTGAAATTTGTGCTCCAGGTTGAGTCATTTCTGATCATATATCTTAGGCAAAATAGACTATCTTAATAAAATCACTGTAACTATAATTTCTTAATATGTACAAATATTCTAGTATTATGAGTAGAAGAACTGCCAACATAGATTAGCAGAAGGATTATCAGTGTGGGAATCAGGAACGAGGGCTTGGATTAAAGCTTTGTCCCTTATGTCTCTGTGACCTTTGGGAAGTCATTACTTCTCTGAGCCTCATTTCTAGGTTTGAAAATGAGACTACTTAATAATCTCTGAGGAGAAGGCTCTCTACTAAAAGGCTGTACTACAAAAAAATTTCTCAGATCTTGGCATTTTTTAATTATTTTGACTACAAATGATTGTTTTCCTGTGGAAAAGACAGTTAATAGACATTTTTAGTTGATAAAGGGCTGGACAAGTTAGATTTTGTCATAATAAAATTTATAGTCTAATAAATTATGTTGAATTAATGCCATCAAATTACAGTCTTGTAACTCCTTGAAGCTGAGTTTAATGGAGTTTCAGTGCAAACACTATTGCATTACACTGTGATAAAAATATATAACATAAAATTTACTACTTTAGCCTTTTTAAATACATAGTTCAGTGGCATTTAGTAGTGCACCCTGTTGTGCATCCATAATTATCACTCATTTCCAGAGTTCTTTTCTTCTTCCCACACAGAACCTCTTGTAACCTTTACATGACCACTTCCCAATATTTCCTCCCACAGTCCCTGGAAAATCACCATCTTACTTTGCTCTTATATATTTGATTAGGCACGTCATATAAGTGGAATCATACAGTTTTTATCCTTTTGCATTTGACTTATTTCACTTAGCATAATCTTTACATTCATCCAAAGCATTATTTGTATGGACAGGCATTTTAAAAGTTTAGTGTAAACTGCAATATTGAATTTATGTGCTCTGTACAAATTTGAAACAAGGATGATTTTCACTTAGAAAACTTGAATATATTGTTAGATGAATTATCTTGAACATTTCAAAGTACACATTTTAATTGAAAATATGTGTTTATTGATAATGTGTCATTATACCAGGTCTGTACAATTGAGCATATTATATTTTCCTTAGTCCTGCAAAATCTATTAAAGACTTGAAATGGACTAGACAATGTATTTTCTTTTTAACTATTTAACAAATTGTAAAACTGAAAAATTGCTCTCAGTTTGTTGTGTCTTGTCAGTATACAGATTGAAAAATATAAACTTAATTGAAATTACTTACTGAACGTCTATAACTGAGATTAATAATACCCCTTTCCTGTAGAAAACCACACAACCAGCTACAGTGGATTGTTCAATATGTGCTTTGAATTTTATGTTTTAGGGGAAATAGTATTTTATTTTTAAAAAATAATTCATTAAAAATGATTTTCATTTGCATATTAAGGTTTGCACTTGGATAAAAGTGCTCCAGCAACAAAGCTACAATTAAGACCTAGAGTGATTTTCATTATAGACCTTAATTCTTCTAGAAGATGATCACTGAGTTGAAATTAAGTTGATCCAGCACTGGTGGCTCCTAGCCTGTATGAACCGGTGACCTGATTCCTACCCTTGTTTTACACCTCATTCATAGCACTTCTGTGAATCGTAAATCTTTAAAGGGCAGAGGGAAGGATGGAAAAAGCACTAACTTATAAACTGTCCTAACCTATTTTCCTGAGAAAGAAGAAACTGAAAAAGAAAGACTTGTGTGAAATCACTTCATTTGGGATGCAGGAGTAAGAAACTGGGCTGAATAAAACTACGAAGAAAGAGGAGCTAATCTAAGCATGGGTTGTCAAGTTGGTCTGGATCTAAAAAGATGAGACAGACTACATTTTCAGCATTAAGAAAACATGTAGATTTTCTCTAGGAACTATATCATACATCTTTAATCCCAGATAATCAGGAGGCTAAGTCAGGAGAGCCCCAAGTTTCACTTTGGCAATTTAGTGAAACCCTATCTCAAAATAAAATGAAAAGAGCTGGGGATGTAGCTCAGTGGAAAGCACTAACCCAGCAAGTATAAGGCCCTGGGTTCAATCCCCAGTACCACACACACACATACACAAATGTAGATTTTACTTTAAAATGATCTTTCCTGGGTTTGTTGATGAATTGTTGTCTAGCAATAGGGGTTTGTGTTCTGGTATTACAATAATTTTCAAGAGCCAATTAGTCATGGCCTTTCTAGAAGATGTAGCTGCCCTCCTGTCTGCTGCAGCTCCCTCCACACACTGTTGTTTTCCAATGTGAATCTGGGAGCCAGTTGCCTATCACCACTCACCTTCTCTCTCTTTATGAGACTGTTCAGATAATGTAAGTGATTGACCCAAACTTTAAATGATGGCATAAATTCCCAGGCAGTTTAAAGCCATGAGAACAGGAAGCTGGGATGTGAGGGAACTCATTAGCACTAGAGATCAGCTGAGGGCACCTTCTCATCAAAATAGAAGGTTTTGAGAGGAAGATCCTTATGGCAGATAAGACCCTCCAGTGAGTGTCTACCAACAGACAGACCAACTTGATCAGCTGCTCACGCACCATGCTACCTTCATGACAGCTAAAGAAATCAGGTAAGAGACCACAGTGCCTGATTTCAATAAAACAAAACAAAAAGATACTTTGAAGAAGGCACAAAGAAAAAAGTTCTCTGCATCTTCCTTCCCTTATCTCCAATTAGCCCAGCCCAAAGAGAGATGCCATTTCCTTAGAGGAGGGAAGGAAAATTAAGCCAAGTCCTTAATCTTGAAACCCAGGACCAGGTTCACCATGGTGAAGCCCAGTGCTGAGCAAACTCCCACAACCCCTATCATCAGGTCCATAGCCACAGACAGAGCTTTAGGAACCACATTAGCCTCTGCAACTGACTGCCTTTGAGGCAGAAGAAAAGAAATAAAAATAGTAGTAAGGAGACAAAAAGGAAGGACAATGAAATAACATTTTAATTCAGAAGTTTTGCATACTTTTCCAGGCCTGTCACTCTTTAAGCTAGTCTCTCTTGCAGGCCTGAGACTCCCAGATTCTTGGAAAATCTGTAAAGCTATCTGTGCACTGCTAACTAACACCACCGCCACCCCCCACACACAATAGATCAAGCAAAGAGAGATATGATATCTTGAGAAACCTATAATTTGGGGACATTTAAGCACTATCAACTGATCAGATAATAAAGACTACATATCAACTTGAGGATTGGGAGAGTGACCAGACCATCATAAACTATCTTGAGTTCGTTGGACTGATATTATACCTTTCTATATATACCCCTCACCAAGTTTCCTTTAAAAGAAAAGCCAGAAAAAGCTGCATCTCTCACTCTGAAGATGATTTGACTTCTTAAATGTGTATTCCTTATTTTACCCGCAAAGTGTCTCTCTCTTGAGATTTCCCTCATTCTCCCTTGAATATGTGTCTACTTTCTTAAATAAACCTCTATGCCTCTGATTGGCAAGTGTGAAATTCTTTTTCATCACATATGCTAGGAAGTCTGCTGTTCCTGATTGCTTCTTCTTTCTGGGAACTCCTTAAATCCTTCTTCAGAGATACCTCTTCTGTGATACCTCCACCAGCTCCCCTACCATCTCAGGCAGCAGAGCAGGGAACAGGATTCTACTTTCTGGGGAGCAGGGCATGAAATCTAGTGCAGATCAGTGTCTCAGAACCCAGTCTCAATCCTGCTATGGTGAGCCCCAGTACCTGGTAGAAACTGAAGGACCCTTACACATGCCAGAATTCTGAGACAGAACCTATAGATCTTCCCTGGCATCAGGTATAGACCTGTACACTGTTAGAAGAGACCTGAGTTTCAATCTTCATAATTTTCATACTTGGAATGGGTTCAGGAAGTGCCTATCCTCTTGAGACTGTATTTGTTGTGACTATTACACTCAGGTGTGACCCAGCTTAGTGGCCAAGGGACTCTCTCTACCCACTGTCCCTCAAGCTGAGCTAGCACAGCTGTCACCAGACCAGGGCTAGCAAATGGAGCTCCAGAACTTTCTTAGCACTCACTGGAGACCTGTACCCAAGAGAGATGGACTCATGTTTCAGCCTGCATCACTGCCAGCTGTAGCATAGGCCTCCATGCACCCTGAAACTGCAGGGCCATGCAGCTGTGAGGCTCAGGCACAATCCAGCTTAATAGGAGTCTAGGTGGCCAAGGGACTGTCTTCACCAACACTATCAGAGCCTCAGCAGCATCGTGTGGTGTTAGACCCCATCCACTGGGGATAGGACAGCAGAGTAAGCACAAGACTTTGCCTTGGAACCTAGCACATGGCTGGTAAAACCTAATACTGGGCAGATCCTAATGTCTCTTCCTGCAGACAAAGCCTCTAAAACAGTTCCAGTGCCAGGGGAAGATACACAGTCCCCGTAGATTGGACTTTATCCCAGTTAGCATCCCCTGTGGCTGGCTGCAGTGGTCTGGGGGTACAAGTCTACCTTAGTAATAGGAAGTCCATAGTGGTGCTGGTCTTGCAGTCTATGGATTCAGAGTGTGACAGCTTGGTGACATTGGTGGCAAGAAGTATTATATAGAAGCCTGGGACTGGTCTATCTATGGTGATTCTTCCCAGGTTTTGGCAGAATCTTGCTTGACCATGGGCCAGTAACTGAAAGAGGCATTTAGGCCTACTTGGGCCTCAGGAAGAGGCTTGTGAGCATGGACTACATTTTCTAGGTACTTTCCTGATTCTTTATGAATTGCACAGAAACAGTATATTGGGACAAACTTGTTCTTGGATTTCTCTGTAGTACTGAAGTAATGACAATACGCTGTTAGCAGACTCCTGGAACATCTGGACCTGAGCACCATCCAGTGCTGAATAGAAAAGTTACTACAATCTCAGAGAAAATAACCAGGCTGCTTAAAATTTCTGGAAAGACTTGCGCATGTGTGCAAACACACACACACACACACACACACGCACACGCATACACGCACACACGCACACACAGCCTGATTAGGAAGAATGGAATAAATACCTAATCCATATGCAGAAAACATCACACGCCAGCAAAGATCAAGAGCTTTTAAGAAACCATGACCTTACCTAATATTCAAAATCAGGTGCCAGAAATTGATCAGTTGAAAAATAGAGACAAGATTTTGAAAGATGTAAGAAGAAAGAAGCAACAAAGAAGTGTGTTCCATTGCATGATACTGGACTTCTCAGAAGAAACCTTATATAGGTCAGGAGAGGGTGGCATGAGATTTTTTATAGAACTGAAGGAGAAAACTGTCAACCAAGTGTACTGTGCCCAGCAAAGCTGTCCTTTAAAATGAAGAAGAGATAAAGGTATTCCCAGACAAACAAAAGCTAAGAGAGTATATCTCTATCAGACCTGTTCTACCAGAGTTGATAAAGGAAGTTCTTCAAACTGAAAGAAATATTAATGGATAAGAAGAAAACATGGAAGGTATAAAATTAATCAGTAAGAATAATTATACAAACAAATTCAAATGTTCTAATATTATAAGCATTGTGTATAACCATTTATATCTTTAGTGTGAAGACTAAAAACAAATAATTAAAAAAATAATAATTATATTAATATGTTAAGAGCTAAGTAATACAGAAATATATAAATTGGGATATAAAAATTTCATTGTGTAGGGAGGAATGCAGTACAAGTATACAGTTTTCTTATTAGTAATATTTCTCTTGTTTGTTTCTGTTCTTTATAATCATATTAAGTTGCTATCATTTCTAAATAGCTTGTTAAAGTCAAAAGTTTATTTTTGTAATTCTCATGGTAACCACAAAACAAAGATCTATAACAAACTAAAAATCATAAACAATAAATCAAAATAACCACTAGAGTAAACTACTTAATCATAAAGGAAGACTGTAAGGGAGAGAAAGAAAGAAACTATAACAAAACTAGGAAACAAGTTATGTAGTGACTACAGTAAGAATTTATCTAAGAAAAATCATCCTGAATATAAATGGATTAAATTCTCCAATTAAAAGACATAGAGTGACTGAATGGGTTAAAAAAAGTGAGATAAACCTAAATATATGTTGCTTAAAAGAAACTCATTTACCTATAAGGACACAAAGACTGAAAATTAAGGGATAGAATAAGATATTGCAGGCAAACAGAATCCAAAAGAAAGCAGAAGTAGCTATGCTTATATCAGATAAAATAGACTTTAAGTCAAAAGCAAAAGCAATACTAAAGAGACAAGGAAGGTCATCATATAATGTCAAGGGGGTATAGTCAGCAAGAAGAAATAACATTATATATATATATATATATATATATATATATATATAGGAACACCCATGTACATATAGAAAATATTAATATATATAAAGGGAAAGAAAAATTCCAATATAATAATAGTTGGAGACTTTAATACACACTTTCAATAATAGAAAGATGATCCAAATGGAAAAATCAACAAAGAAAATGAAGAAGTGAATTGTACCCTAGACCAAATGCACCTATATCTATAAAACATCCCATCCAACAGCTTTTGAGTGCACATTTTTTTTCATCAGCACATGAAACATTTTCTAGGATATGATAGGTCACAAAACAAATATTTGTTGGCAAATATAAAACAATTGAAATCATATTGGGTGTCTTTTCTGACCACAATGTAATAACACTAGAAACCAAAGACAAGAAAATTTTGGAGACTATACAAATACATGGAAATTAAACAGCTTACTTTTGAACAACCAATGAATCAAGGAAGCAATCAAGAATGAAATTTAAAATTTCTTGAAACAAATGATATTGGAAATACAATATATGCAATCTATGGAACATAGCAAAAGTAGTGGTAAGAGGGAACTTTATAGCAATGAATTCCGACATCAAAAAGGTAGAAAGATCACAAATAAAAAGCGTATTACTACACCAGAACTAGAAAATCAAGAAAAAAACCAAACCATAAGTTATTGGAAGGAAAAATATAATAAAGAGTAAAATGGAAATAAATGAAATGGAGACTAAAAACAAAATACAAAAGATCAATTATACAAAGAATTCTTTCTTCAAAAAGATAAACAATATAGACAAATTCTTAGCTGAACTAAGAAAAAGAGAGGACTTAATCAGAGACAGAAAAGGAGACATCACAACAGCATGGAAATCCAAAAGACCATTAGAGCAATATGAGTAACTATGTGCCTACAAATTTGATAACCTAGAATAAATGGACAAATTCCTAGACCTATATACCTTACCGAGGAGGGTGGGGATAGGGAAAGGTTGATCAATGGGTCCTAAGTATAGATAGACAAAAATGAGAAGTTCTAGTGTGCTGTTGCACAGTAGGGTAACTATAAACAACAATAATGTACTGAATACTTTAAAAAACTAGAAGAAAGGATCTTGAAAGTTTTCACCATAAAGAAATGAATGTGTGAGGAGGTAGGTAGGTATGTTGAATCTGATTCCAACATTACACAATGTATGTATGTATTGAAACATTATAGGGTACTCCATTGATATGTACAATTTTAGTCTTTTTTGGTATTAGTTGAAATTTTAAAAAGATAGAGATACTTGTCAAAATCTGGGTATTAACAGAATGAACACCTCAGTTTTAGGTAACAGATATCCATATGGAACTGGCAGCACGGATTTTGGTAATGTCTCTCAAGTAGCACATACTATGTGTTCTTGGGTAAAATCTGCTGTTGAGTGTTTGAAACTCCTCCCCACATTCCTGATTTGTTTGAGAAAATGTCAGCATTTTATGAAACACATGTTTCATGAAAAAAAAAACCTACACATTGCTTATTAATGCTATTTAAATCTCATATTTTAGGTGAGTACAAAGCCCCAGTGGCAGCAGGCGGCCCCTTCATTTAATTTGAATATAAAGCAAGACAATGAGATTCCAGAAACTTTTAGTATTAAAAATGAACAGTCTTATGGTAAGAACTTCAATATTCTATCTTAGATTTAAGAAAGTTTCTAGAGGAAAAAACACAACATTTAGCTAATAGAGTCACAAATTATAAAGCCTAAATGAGATTTATGTCAAGTAGAAAAATTACTCCCAAATATTTTCCATCAGAAAGTAATTGATTCAGTTCTTAGTTATTTCAGGCCATTGTAAATGCTGTTAGAGATGATATTTTAGGAATTGGGATGTTTATCATAAAACTTTTGTTTATTGTAGTTAAAATTTGCCCTTCTATTAAATGTTTTTCTGAGCTGGATTTAATGAGATATAAATATTACTTCCAAATTAGTCATTTAATTCATTATTACGATTACCAGTAGTAGTAATAGTAATAGTAGTGTTAGTAGCAGTTGCAGTAGTCGTAGTAGTGGTAATAGTAATAGAACTGGGGATTAAATCCAGATGTGCTTTACCATGGAGTTATAACTCTAGCCCCCCTGCCCTCTTTTTAAAAAAAAAAAAAACATTTTAAGATAGGTTATTGCTAAATTGCTGAAGGTCTCACTAAGATGTTGAGGTTAGCCTCAAAGTTGTGATTCTCGGCTTTGACCTCCTGAGTTGCTAATTTTTTTTTTTTTATTATTATCATGACTCCTTGAAATATAGTGCTTATCAGCTGGACTTGATGGCACACAGCTGTAATCCCAGAGGCTCAGGAGGCTGAGAGGCAGGAGGACCGGGAGTTCAAAGCCAGCCTCGGCAATTTAGCGAGGCCTAAGGAACTGAGTGAGACCCTGTCTCAAAAATAAAAAGTAAAAAGGACTGGGGATTTGACTCAGTAGTTAAGTACCCCTAGGGTTTAATCCCCAGTACCAACAAAACAAAATAAAACAAAAACATTGTTTATCAGATTTATTACATTTAATGTTAACATTTTTATTATGGTTCTGATTCTTTAAATTTTCTTAAATAGTTTGTATTCAGTTTTATCATAAGTTTAATTTTGTTCATTAAAAAGATCCTATGCAAGTATAATTGAAAATTGTTTATTATATTAATAAAATAGGATAAATCAGTTGAATATTCTTGAAATAGACAAAGTTTTCTATCATGATGATATTAAACCAGAGTAGTTTAGCTTAGGGTTCCTTAAGAATTTAAAGTACTTTTTTTTTTCTTGGATGGTGCTTTAGCATTTTTTCTAATCACTTAAATATTTTAGCTAGCTTTCTAAAGGGATTTTTTTTTATTTAATTCCAGGTGAATACATGGAACACTTTGGGAAAAAAAGCAAAATCCTCAATCAAATTGATGATGGCCACGCCAAACCATCTACTTCGAAATCAAAGGGCAAATCTTCATATAAAGAAAGAGAAAACTTTAGAAGTACTCTTGTTAATGTCATAATGTAAGTTCTGTAATGCTTCTATTATGAATTACCCTCATTAGAGTTCCTGGGAAATTTTATCTAAAAATATAAAAAATATAATATTTCTGTGCCTTAAAGTCTTGTTGCAGTGAGGTCAGTGTATAAATAAATAAAGACCTTGAGTTTAGCCCTATTTAGCATGTCCTACTTTTAAACCTCATGAGTTTTAAATTTATGTATGTTAATGGTTGACATTGGCTGAGAAAAATTTCTGTGAGTTCTGGTTATGGCTATGGAAGCTGGTGGAAAATTTGGCTAGTTTGTTTTCCCCCATGTTGTCTGCTCAGGTGATATGGTGACTTCTCTGATGTTTGGATTTCCTTGTGTAGAAAAGAAATGGGGTGGAATGGTCTGTAATGGGAGTATGGCCTGAGTGACCTGGTCTGGGGTTTAGAACATTTGATGGAGAGAATTGTAGACTCAAGTTACTAGTTCCTCTTTGCCTTGTTTCCACACAGCCTCACATAAGCTGTTTGGTACCCTTTTTTGTTTCATTACGAGTCAGGGTACAACCACTTGAGTAGGTCTCATGACCTACTGTGGTAACTCACCCACCTGTGGAACCCTGTTTTACTTTCCCCTTGTGGCACTGTACTGGCTGGGTGACCATCTTGAAGGGATGAGAGTGGGTACTGAGTGCTTAGAAAGTGAATGAGGGGTATTTATGGGAGTTCTATGCAGCTGAATTGAGGCTGTGTGCCTTGTCTAGAGTAGTTTTGGGTTTGCTTTTGCCAGGCACCCTAGAATATTACCAGTTAGGTCCACTCGTATACTGCTTTCTTGGTTTAAGTGTGCTTGCATAACACAACCAGTGTGAAATCAACACCCAAATCAATGGAAGGCCTTTGGCTAAAAATTCTTAAGAAACTTTTTTTTTTCTACTTGGAACCCCTGGCCAAGAAAGATGAACTTTTTTTCTTCTTTCTCAATGGTTTGAATGATGAGCGCAGACATGCTAGAACACAATGGTACTGGATGGAAGATGGCTATCTCTTTAGAAAATGAACAGGTTTAGGAGGCTCAGAGTCTTCTACCATGCCAATTGGCCAGTCATAAGGGCACATTCCAAGGGGACATGAGGGCATGCAGTGACTGAGATGAGCTTTCTTAATACAAATTCCTGTGCTTATAATTTCTAGTCCATTATATGCATATATAATGTTTTAGTCAGCTTTTTCACTACTGTGACCAAAAAATCTGAAAAGAATAATTAGAGTGGGAAAAGTTTATTTTGTGGCTCATGGTTTCAGAGATCTCAGTTCATAAAAGGCTGGCACCATTCCGTGGAGCTCTGAGGTGAGGTGGAAAGTCATGGTGGAAGAGGGTGGTGGAGGGAAGAACAACTCATAACATCTCAGCATGAAAGCAGGGAGACTAAGCTCAACTTAACAAATATATTCCCCAAAGGCATGACCTCTTCCATCCACACCTTACCAGCCTATAGTCACCACTCAGTTAATTCCTATCAGGGTATTATCACATTGAAATGTTAAGACTTTTCATAACCCAATCATTTCACCTCTAAACCTTCTTGCATTTTCTCATACGTGAGCTTTTGAGGGACACCTCATTTCTAAACCATAATATGTATGATTATGCTGTCTGCACCAAAAATGATTTTACTTCTTCATTTTCCATCTGGTTGCTTTTCTTTTCTCTTTCTTTCCTTTTTATACTTGTTAGGTTCTTTGGCTCATTATTGAAAATAACTCCTGAGAATGGAATTCCTTGTCTTGAGAGTTAAAGCATTCAGTCTTTCACAATTATGTGAGATCTTAATTGCAAATATTTAAGATTCCCTTAGTGGAGAAAAGGGGATCCTTGAATGCCATTAGTGGAAATGTAAATGAGTATAGTCATTACGGGAAACTGTATAGAAAATTCTCAAAAAACTGAAAATAGAATTACCATTGCTCTAGCAATTCCACTTCTGGGTATTTATCCAAAAGTTTTGAAATTGGTATGTTGAAGAAATGCTTGCACTCTCTTGTTCATTGTAGCACTATTCACAAGAACCAAGTTATGGACACTAAAGTTATGGACACTAAAGTGTCCATCAACAGATGATTGGATAAAAAGATGTCATACACACACACACACACACACACACACACACACACGTGCACGCGCGCCCAATGGGATACTATTCAGCCTTTTAAAAATGAAGGAAATTGTAATTTACAATTACATAGATGGCTTTCAAGAACTGGCTAAGCGAAAGTCAGTCATAGAAAGAGAGATACCACATGTTCTCACTTGCATGTGGAATGCAAAATGGTTGAACTCATGAAGCAGAGAATAGAATCATGGTTACCAAGTGGTAGGGATGGGGTGGGAAATGGGGAGATGGTGGTCAAAGGATACAATGCTTCAATTAGGCAGGAGGAGAGAATTTTTTTTCCTTTGAGAATCTTTACATAGTGTGGGAAATATGGTAGATAATACTATAATGTCCATTTCAAAATCACTGAAAGAAGAGTAAACTTCAAGTGTGCTCACTACAAAAAATAAGTACTTGAGTTGATGAATATGTTACTTGGCTTGATTTATGTATTACACACTGCATTTATAAATCATAATATCACTTTTACCACCAAATAGACAGAACTATAACTTTTTAATTTATAATAAAAATTAAAAACTAAATTTAAAAGAACACATAAAATGGGAACATGGACAAAATAAATGTGTAAATGAAAATAGAAGATAACTTTTATCAAGTTTAGGAAGTTTCCTTTCTTTCCTTGTTTTTTGAGAGTTTTTTCATGAATGGTAATAGACTTTTGTCCAGTGCTTTTTCTGTGTCTATTGATAGAAGGTCATTTGGCTTTTGGCTTTTGTTCTATCAATATATGGTATATTATATTATTTGCTTTTCCTATCCTAAAGTAACCTTGCATTCTTTTTAGTCATTGTGAATAATCTTTAATATGTTGTTGAATTTTATTTGCTAATTTTTTTCATTTGTATTTGTGAATAATATAGGCCTGTAATTTTATTGTCATGTCTTTGAGATCAGGTTTCTATTGGTCTCACAAAATGAATTGGTAAAGTGTTCTTACCTTTTCTATTTTCTGAGTTTGTGTGGAATTGGTATTTCTTCCTTGTTTGATAGAATTCATTAATGAAGACATTTGGACCTGAATGTTTCTTTATGGGAAATTTATTAATTACTAATTAGTTTACTTGATAGAGATCTGTTCCTACTTTCCCTGTCTTTTTTAGAGAATCTTTACATAGTGTGGGAAATATGGTAGATAATACTATAATGTCCATTTCAAAATCACTGAAAGAAGAGTAAACTTCAAGTGTGCTCACTACAAAAAATAAGTTTGTTGCCTTTGGGAATGTGTTCCTTTGCATTACATTGCCTAATTTACTGGTATTAGCTAGCTATTCAAATAACCTCCTGGTTTTCATTCTTCCTACTCATTTCCTTCCTGGATTCCTGCTGACTCCAAGACCAGGGCCTTTTGGGGGTCTGCAGGCAGACAGCTTTCCTTCCTGCATGACTGTGGTATCTTAAAGGATTTCCTTCTGTCCTCTGTCTTCTTTTCATGTTCCAGAAATATTCCTTCAACTGATGACTTCTAAATCTCTTCTCAATTATGGCTTAAAATCATTTTACTACCATTTTCAGGGTGAAACTGAAAAACGGTACATTCATGCTATCTTCTTGAACCAAAAGTCTTGATTAATTTTTATAAAGAAGAAGAAAATCAATATTTTTATTTTCATCTTTGAGATATAAAGTATATCCTACTTTATCTTTAACCAACTTGAGTGTCTCCTGTATTGCTTGTTTTATTTGTAATTGGAATGTTGTTCTATTGGAAAGAGCATGGCTGTTTGGAGGTATATATTGTTGAGCAAATCCTTATTTTAGTACTTAATTAGCTGTATGACCAAGAGGTAGTCATTTAATCTCCATGACATTCAGTTTCTTGTGAAGTGAGGATAATTATGTCATTATTATTTTTTTTTATTGGTTGTTCAAAACCTTACAAGGCTCTTGACATATCATATTTCAGACATTAGTTTCAAGTGAGTTATGAACTCCCATTTTTACCCCAAATACAGATTGCAGAATCACATCAGTTACACATTCACCTTTTTACATAATGCCCTATTAGTAACTGTTGTATTCTGCTACCTTTCCT